GATACCAATCTATAAAGTACTCTTCAGAGTCACGAAACACATGAAATGATGCAATGCAGGAAGATCACAGGCCAGTGGGTGGAAAGTCTTGTGGATCCAGTGGCGGTGTAAGCATCTCAGCACTGGCAGGGATCTCTACATGGCTCCTCCAGCTCAGAGGACTAGCGTATCTCCATGTGTCTTGTCCACAGGAATGTCTCACAGAGAGTAAGCGTGTATCCTGCCTCCAACAAGCTGTTAATCTCTTTAGCACCTCCCAATAAGGTCATCAAACTGCGACCTAATTGACAGGCTAAACTTTACCCCTTCACTCTTAAGTCTCAAATTGACAACAGATTATGTAACTACCACAGCCCTAAAGGGGCCCAGTGGCAGAGCTTTGGGCAACAGATGGCAGGGTCATGAGGAGCCTTTTCCTAGGGAGGTTGAGAGGAGGCCTTTACGGTCTAGAGGGGCTGAGGGAGCTGTCATCCTCTGAAGAAGGGAGACGTTGCCTATGTGTTTCTGATCCTGTCTGTGTCCTGTTTTTTCCTTCATAAGCCAAATCATGTTTGTGCTTTGTGAGTTCTGTGAGGTCAATGCAACAGATTCTCACAAGTGCTCCAATCAACCACCTCATGGTAAATGGAGAGAAGAATGACATTGTCAAGGATCTCATTTTACTTGGATCCATAATCAACACTCATGTAGACAGAAGTCAAGAAATCGAATGACATGATTGCTTTGGGCAAAGCTGTTGAGCAAGACCTATTTAAAGTGTTAAGAAAGCAGCGATGTCACTTTGAGGACGAAGGTGTGCCTGCCTGGCCCAAGCCATGGTAGTTTCAGTCACCTCATATGCACGTGAAAGCTGGATGGTGACTAAGGAAGAACAGAGAAAATTTGGCACATTTGACTCATGGTGCTGACCAAGAGTATTGGAAGCCCCATCCATTATCAGAAAAACACACATATCTTGGAGACGGATAGCCAGCATGCTCCTCAGAAATAGGGAGGATGAGACTTCTCATGCACGTTGGGAATGCTATCAGGAGGATTCAGTCCCTGGAAGGGGACATCATGCTTGGTAAAGTGTAAAGTCGGCAAAGCAAGACCTTCCATGAGATGGGTTGACACAGTGGTTGCAGCTGTTGTGAGGGTGGGGCAGGCCTGGGGACCGTTTCATTCCATTGTACACAGGGTGTTATGAGTTAGAGTCAACACAAAGGCGCCGGACAACAAGAACAAAGTTTACACAATAACAACAGGATCTGTTTTGTAAGGATTGGTTACTACGAGTCCCTGGGTTCTGAAAATGGTTAGCATAGCTAGTTACAAACAGAGGTTGGAGGTATAAATTCATATAGAGAAACACCTCAGAAGAAAGGCTCAGTAATTTACTTCTAAAACACCAGTCAAGCAACACCATTTGGAGCACAGTTCTACTGAGACATACATGGGGTCATCATCAGTTAGGACTTGGGAACAACTCAACCGCAATGGGTTTATTATTCAATAAAATGTTTAAGCTTATCAATTCATCTCTTTCTTCCAATCTCTTTGCTATTAAAATGAAGAATCGTGTAGAAAATGAAAGAACAAGGTATTCACAATCCCATAACTCTACAACCTACTTTTTATTGTGTTATCTTTTTTACCCTCTGTATGTAGTATGAATATTTTTAGCTCAAAAGCTTTAAAGCCACACAAGAAAAGTACGTTCTGTTTGGGGAAAGTTAGAAAATAAGAAAACCAAAAATTGTTGCAAGCTCATTTTGTCTACCAGTTAGTTTCTCGTTAAACAAGAAAGCATCTGGTTTAGCAGGTTTGAAACCGCTTCATTATGCTCAGGAGTGTCTTCTGGGTCTCTCAGAGCACGGGAGGAGACAGGGAGCTGGAATGAGGGGACAACTATTTCAAGTGGGGCATCACCACTGTTGAACATTGTCTTTTAAGTTTCTCCCTATTCTTTTTTGAATGGACCATGTTAACCTCTTTTTTTCTTTAAGTGAAGACCATGCTCAAAATATAGAGTAGATCAAACCAGCACACATTCTTTGAGATTCAACCAAGAAAATACAATAGTGAGATTA